GGGACTTGTTTATGGGGGCGCCACATGTTTGACAGTTTAGATGTGACGGGGCGTCACAGGGAAGACGGGCCCGGTGTTCGGTGGCGTCCCCGGTGGCGTCCCCTCTGGGTCGTCCCATTGTCCGTCCGGCCGCTCCGTTCTGTGTCTGACCGGGACGCCGTTTGCCTGCAGGCGGAATGGCGCCGTCACCCACATCAAGATCCAGAACACGGGGGACTACTACGACCTGTACGGCGGGGAGAAGTTCGCCACGCTGGCGGAGCTGGTGCAGTATTACATGGAGCACCACGGGCAGCTGAAGGAGAAGAACGGAGACGTCATCGAGCTCAAGTACCCACTCAACTGCGCTGACCCCACGTCGGAGAGGTGAGAGCTCAGACTCCTCTGTCACATCTCAGCCACTGTCTCTTTAGTCATCATAAGCTTTGTTTTGCCCTTAAAAGGAACCATTATGGTCCCGTCCTCCATTCAAATTGTCCACTCTTTATTGAGCATGAGCTATGTTTTTGTTTTATCTCTTCATCAAAATTTTATCCAGGATCTGAAGACTGAAAACAAGCCGGCACAGGCCGTCTCTTCTTGGGCTGCAACTAATGTTTTTGGTCGCAGTTTTTCAGGAAACTTCTATAAAAGACCTCTTTTAGAGTTTTTGAAAGCAAAAACGTATTTTTGGAGTGGTTTAACAATAGATCATAGAGCTGACCAGAGTCAGCATTAATGGCGCCTAGCTGTCTTAATCTGAGTCAAGTTTTTGGTTTTATTTTGGGGCGTTTACAAAGTGTTGGCCTGGAGCCTGATGGGCCTGAGTCCCTCCGCTTCTGATGTGTCTGCGGGCTTCGTTTTCCAGGTGGTTCCACGGACACTTGTCGGGCCGGGAGGCCGAGAAGCTGCTGACGGAGAAGGGCAAGAACGGCAGCTTCCTGGTGCGGGAGAGCCAGAGCCACCCGGGGGACTTTGTCCTCTCGGTTCGCACCGGCGACGACAAGACGGACAGCAGCGACAGCAAACCCAAAGTCACTCACGTCATGATCCGCTGCCAGGTGAACACGCCGCCCAGCGCCTTCCCCCGAACCGGCCCTGTCCTCAGCTCCTGCATGTCCAGTTTACAGAACCGAGTGAAGGAGTTTATCTCAGGCGAACGCTCCGAGATGAAATCAGATCGCTTTTTTTGGTGCCTTTTTATTTGTGCAATCCCCTTTTACGACCTGGAGCGCAGACGGGGCAGAAACTGAAAGCCTGCACACGCTGTGCCCACAGTCAGTCCCCGAACGGTGTAGAACTTTCTGCTCAGGTCAGAGGGCGTCTTAGCTGAAGCGAAGAAATCTAAATTTAATTAGTTTTGAATGATTTCACTTCAAATGAGGACTTTAAATATGGTTAAATAAATAGTTAGTTCAGTAAATTCCAGCCGCACGATTAAGCAGCTGTCGTTATTAGTTTGTTATATAGGTGTTATACACTACGTAGCTCCTACTTAAGCACAGACGCACCACGTTTGTCAAAACTAATGTTGGATCATTCAAATAAGTCACTTAAATGAAAGAGAATGTTTAATCTTATTGGTTTGTGGATCCAGAATTCTGTGTTCAGACGTCTGCGGTCTGAACTGAGAGATAATGGACGTGTTGTGTTTACTACTGAAGTGTTTCTTCCCAGCATGACCTGAAGTACGACGTGGGAGGAGGGGAGAAGTTTGACTCCCTCACAGACTTGGTCGAGCATTACAAGAAGAACCCCATGGTGGAAACCCTGGGCACCGTGCTTCAGCTCAAACAGGTTGGTCCCTCTTTTGTCCATATTGTACAAAGCCGTCCTGAGAGTGTGTCCATCTGTAAGCTGACGTGACCTCTGACCTCTGCGCAGCCCCTCAACACTACCCGCATCAACGCCGCCGAGATTGAGAGTCGAGTCCGGGAGCTGAGCAAACTCGCAGAGGCCACAGACAAAGTCAAACAAGGTTT